GTATAGTAATGTCCATTAATTTAAAAAAAAAAAAAAAAAAGAAAAAAAAAAAACATAATGCTACTTACAGAGTTCTCAAAAAATAAGTCGGATAAAACAGCAAGTGGCTCTGCAGTGCAGTCACTGTGAAGGTTTTTTATTATATTTGTTACTCAGGTTGAATCTGCATGCCTGAGTGGGGTATGGAGGCAAATAAATAGTATATTTAACCCTGCAGTGTGGGGTTAACAGTGAACCTCTTAAAAGTGAAGAATGAACATGTAGGTTGATGCTCAGCTTGTAGTCCTCAGTAAAGCCTGCATGCAGGAACCATGTGAAAGAATAAAAAGCTGACTTGGTGGTGTTGTTCTTCCTAATAGCACAGTGGTTTGGCAGTGAGAAAATCACACTCTGAAAAGGAGGGCAGCTGTAAACCACCTTGAATTATAGAAATCTGTAGCCTCTCTGCTGGGAGAACATACTGTGTTTTGTTAATGTTTTGAATTCATGCTTCCATATCCCATCTTGTTACCAGCCCATAACATTCCCTGAGATGTGTTCAGTCTGCCTCTTAGCAGGCAAAAATCACATCACATACCCTCCACTGTGTTGTTTTTTTTTTCTTTCAGAAAAGAAAAAGAAACACAACCATCATCTCCACTGCTCCAAACAGTATAGCTGGTTAGAACAGAGGAGGATATGTCTCTTACTTTTTCTCCCTCAAACAATTATGGTTGGAAGGTACACAGAAAAAGCACAGTCACAGGTGTACTTTATTAATGTCACTGTAAGAGAGCTGTACAGTGAGGTGAAAAGCATGCATGATGGCATTTGTATTTCTCACATCTTCTGAAGAAATAAGCATTAATCCTACAAAACAGTCTTCACCCTGTTCTGCAATATTTAGTACACATTTAAATTATTGCATGTCTATTTTCAAATATTGCTACAAAAGATTTATTACTACTATTAACAATAAATGCAAGTAACCATTATTTCAGCAAGATTCCCCACACTCTAAGGTCTGCAATGGTTATAGTAACTGCTCTTAGCCTACATGCCTTCCTTGTGAATACAGTAACTTTCAGAACCACAAATAAGTACTTAACATTTTGACATCCCTGAAACATTCACAAAAAATTATACCATGGCCAACACTTCACATTGAAAATGAAGCCTAATTTTTTCTTTTTCTTTTTTTTTTTTCTCAGAAGAGTCATGAATTTTAACATGCTCTCCATATTAGAGAAAACATAGAAATCTGCTGGAAGTCATCTTAATCTGAATCTCCACAACTGGAGAAGCAGCTCCAGAAAGAATTTTTTTTCAGTGAACTACGTGAAGGATACCCAGGAGAAGCATAATCTGAGAATAACAGTAGAATTTCAGATTTGTACATGTGCTTAAGTTTCTAAGAATATGTGCAAGGGATCTGTGGTTTTAGTTAGGCATCTAGACAATTTGGAGAAAACCCATCAGACAAGTAGATGCATTAATATTTTCAAAAAGTCTGGACCCAGTTCCTTCAGTCCTTTGTTCAATATACAATGTAACTGTGCATTTCCAGATTTCTGCCAAAGCCATGGAAATGCATACAGGTTCAGAAAGAGAATAAATGGCTCAAGCTGTGTGATCTTAAAGATATTTAGGCCCTATTCTTTGTATGAACCAGCAACTCCATATGCAACTCATGAGTTCAGTATTCCTTTTAAGATACTGGCCTCTGAAAAAGATAGTAGTTATAATACAAATGGCTTACCTGTTGTCAGGTTTTCTTAGCAGGAATGCAAAAAGAAGAAAAGTTTAAGGAAAATAATTGCTTAATCCGGTGACTTTCATATTGATTTTTTGTGTGAAAGGCTTCCACCTTGGTTAAGAGGATTAGATCAGAGTATCCAGTCCTGTTTAAAATCTTCATTAATGATCTAGACAATAGTAGAGTACATCCTGATTAAACTTGCAACTAACGTGAAACTGGGAGGAGTGGCTGACTTGCTAGAGGGCCATGCAGCCATCCAGAGGGACCTCAACAGCCTGGACAGGTTGGCTCACGGGAAACTTATTGAGTTCAACAAGAAGTGAAGAGTTCTGCACTTGGGGAGGAAGGAACAATCTCAGGCATCAGCACACGTGAGGTCTACCCAGCTGAAAAAGAGCTCTACAGAAAGAGACCTGGGAGTCCTGTTGGTTGCCAGCTTGAACATGAGTCAGCAATGTGCCCTCACCATAAAGAAGGCTAACGGTACTCTTGGCAAAGTATTGCCACTAGATTAAGAGAGAAGATCTCTCCCGTCTAATCACGCTTTACAAGGCCACATCTGGAGTGCTGTGCTCAGTTCTGGGCCTCACAGTACAAAACAGTTGTGAACATGCTGTAAGCAGAGCTGCACGGTTGGTGACAAGTTACTTTAACCTTGCAATAATTTAATCACATCAGCTTCCTTGTTTTGAAGGAAACATCAATTCAGAGAGGAAAAAAGATACATGTTCTATAATTCTAATAAAAACTTCCTCCTAATAAGTTTATGGGCTCTGAAATACTGCTGATGATTAATCAAAGCAGAAGGTCACACAGGAGTGAATACAGAGGGAATTTATCCTGGTGCAAGTAAAACAAAAAAATGTGACAGTGATTTTATGGATATTGCCAAATACTTTTAATCAGCTCATGTCTTCTAATAAACCATCATGACATGAAGTATGGCTGAGGTATGAGAAATTGGGTTTTACAATTAGTTGAGTGAATGAGTGCTTTTTCAATGACAAATTAGGGTGTTCTCAGGTTATTTCTAAATAGTCCAGCAAAATGCCTTAGAAATAAATGTTACGTATGTGTAAGAATTCCTCTTCATAACTCCTAGCATTGGTCTCATGACTTTAGTATTCTAATATCAAAGTCCTCTAGATTATGGACTTAAAACCATGGAAAAAAACCATGCATGTCTAGAAGACCCCAGTCAGGACATAATTATGATGTGAAATCACAGCAGTGGAGTAATTGAAATGGATAGCTGTGAGGATCTAGTTATGATCATATCATTCATGGTCCTGATGAATATTTTGTATTACTGGAATTATGATTATGCTGTCTGCAAAGGCTGCATGTCTATATCGGCTACAAGCATTACAGTCATCACTGTAGAGAAGGATTCCAACCTGCAGTGTATTTCTATTAGCAATGGGCAAGTAATATCATTTTTCTGCAACTATTGATTAAACAACCACATTACAATTCCACACTACACTGCAGGGAAGGAAAAAAAAAAAAAAAGACTAATTAGTTCCAGTGTTATTTTTGTTTATTTTTGTTTTTAGCACCTTAATCTTTTAACATAGGATTATTTGTTTGTTAAGGCTACTGTTCTGCTATTACAAAAGGAAGATATGGGAACAGCCATCACAGATCCTATATTTTAGACATCATAATATATTGCTTGCACAACTAAGCCTTCACTTAATTTAATTTTCAAGCAATAGTTTTGTCCATACATACATAATATGAGGGATGTAATAGCTTCTGTACTGAGCTGTATTTAATAATTGATGGAGTCATTCCAATATATCTCAAGACAACATCATAAAAAGTCCAGTGACTGAGGAACCCTTAGCCCTTATCCTGACATGGGTCATATCGTAACAGGCAGACATGAATTGTCACGGACAACTACAACTGTGGGGACAGCACCTCCTGCTCTCAATCACAGACACCTCCACAGTGCTCACAACAGTTGTTTAAACAAAACACTGTTTTTTGAAAATATATTTTTCTCCATGTTATGTATTCTGTGGTATTATCTACACTAGCGAAGTAAAAATTAAAGTAACATTCCTCTTCAGGTTGTTTTTGTTTCTCTTCATTCTTCCTACTCTTTGAACTACTTGGAAAGATCCAAAATGGCTATATATAGATATGTTTATACACATTCTTTCTATAAAAAGTAGATCTGAAAACACACAGATTCAAGCATGACAAATTAAATGACCAAAAAAACGTAAGTTTGTGTAAACAAGCAGTACCAATCAGATTACTTGCATGCATCCTCTTTAGCCATAAAAATTTAGATAAATTAATTTATTTTAGTAGAAATCACTGCACTGTACAGATAGCTGGAGCAGTTCGTTTCTAACAGTAAATCATCAAATGGAAAGGAATTTCTCAAAGCTCCCAGTGAGAACTCAGATCCTCTTTCCACTCATTACCTTCTGATACAGAAGGATTTTAAATTTACTGAAACAGTGCCAGACTACTAGTATCAGAATGTCAGGCATACCCAGCACAAGCACAGACTGGCTTGCAGCACTCTCACCTAGGCACAAAAGGCTGCTTCAGTTGCCTCTTTGCACCATCAGAGGGAAGAGTCAATGGGACAAAATGCAGCTCTTCCCTACCAACCAGACACAGAAAACATAACTCCTGAGCATCTTTAGCCATCCTCTCCTGTGGCTTCTCTCCCCCTGACTCAAAGTAAATATTGCAATTTTCAGATGGCTAGAGAATAGTTAGTGAGAGAAAAAAAGATAAAAGTGAGAAAAAAAAGCTAGACAGTACTTTTCTGGATTTCCTGCATTCCCATTTTGTATTTCACCCAACCCTTGGGAATGCTCTCACTCAGCATGATAACTGCTGCTGGACAGCTGTGTGTAATATGTAATTTATTCTTTATCACATCTGTGTAAATCTTGAAGAGTTTCAAAAATTCACTCCTTATTTCTTTATTTCCTTTTAATATCTGGATACCTACTCCTGTAAACAAGAAAAAGAATATCTCTTGTGTTAAATTTTACTATGCAATCTTCCACCTTACTGAGGTATTTACACTTAAGAGATTGAAAATAAAACAACTATTTGAAACATAATTACAGATTTCATTAAATTTGTATTAGCACTTAGTGTGGTTTGCTTCTCTATATTCAATACAAAAATACTTGTATGCTAGCAATGCTGTTAACAAAATTCATAGTTAGGCGTAATGTAAGTGAAATCTGTATCAGCAAAAAGACAGAAAGAAGACTTCACTCACCAAGCCATCCTGATCCAGAATTGGGTATACACATATCTGTCTCAGCACTGGGCAACACAAATCCAACCACAAAAACTTCTACTCCATCAGCCATTAGAGCCATTCCCAAAACAAAAAACAGGGCCCACTGGAATCGACCATGGCCACATTCTTGTATTATCAGTTCGTACTGCTGTGCTAATTCTTCTTCATCAGCTTTCCTTTCTGTTTCCAGTTCATGACGATCTTTATACTCATCACGCACAGGTTGCCCTAAGGCCACCATGCCATCTTTGCCCTGCCCCATGTTGGGGATTCCCTGATACTCCCCTTCATAAATTTCATCATCTTCATCGTGCCCTTCAGTTGCTTCACTTGATCCTTCATCATCATTAGCTTCCACACCATAATTTCCTCCTTGGACGTAGTAATCATCATCATCTTCCTCGTCCTGGAATCGACTGTAGGACCTCTGTGTGTAGCCATCCTGAGCTTTGTCAACAGCTTTATTCACTTTTTTCACAGCTTGTCTCTTTACCTCTTTGGCAATATCTTTTGCCCCTTTCACTAATGAAGTCCTGTCTTTGTATGATTCCTCCATCTTGTATCTGTTCTACCGCAGTCAACTGCTGAACACTATTTGGAAAATCTATTGTGTGTTGGACACCAGCAGGAAGAGGCGAAGAACCTGCAAAATATGAGAGAAAAAAACCAAAAGTTTATTTCTTATTTGCCTCCACACATTACGTAGTGAAGTATCAACACTGGACACTGCAGTTGAGGACTTCAGCTATAATATTTCATGTTAGAAGGAAAATATTCTATAGTAAAATCTAGTATCTACAAGTTTTCAGAATGAAAACTGAATTTTTCAGTAGATGCTGGATTTTGTTCTGAAGGAAAACAAGCTGTTCCGCAAGCTATACTTCACAATTGCTCTGTTTCCACTGCCCTTTCCCATTTAAACTGCTGTGTAGTAAAAGGCTACAAATATCTGCTTTTATTCTTAAAGATTTTCCAGTTTCAGTAATGCTTCCATCCCCCAAATGAATAAAACTACTAAGGAGCTCTGTACCAGTTGACTGAACTTCGTCAATGCATTCACACAGAGCAAAGCTTAATGATTTTGGCACAGCCTCATGCTACAATCAGTGCAAGGAGATGAGTGGGTTGAAATGGCAACTGTTCCACACTTTGGCAACTTCCAGTCCCAAAATCAGACAGAGAGCATCCCTCTTTTACTTGCCCATAGTGACAGGCAGGATGGATCAATCACGTATCCTCAGCTAATATACACCAGAGTGTTAGTCCAAGCATGATCTCATGCTGATTGATTTGTGTGAAAGCACCAGAATGTTTCATCCTACTTTCCCTTCCAGTCATCCTGCTACAGTGTTCCACCTCTTTCTCTGTGTCAGCATTTGTGACCCTGCAGCTTCATACAAAGCACCATGCTCCACGGGACATAACCATTTCCTTTTTTTTTTTTTCTTTTCTTTTTCTTCTGGGCAATATTTAGGTATACCAGGAAGGTAATTTGGCTCATCACATCCTGCAAACACTAGGGGTATTTGCACAATCACTATGGTTAGTAAAAAGCAATGGTGGCTGAGTGCAAGCAGAAGTAAGGAAGAAAAGCAGGCTCTTTCATTGGTAATAGTCCATAGTTAGAACATAGAACAGCTGAAATTGATTACAGAACTGCACCATTACTCATGTTTCTGAAGGGGCAGGGATGAAACTGGGAGTTGTGTCAGGGTTGCAGAAACACCACCTCTGGGAGAAAACAGGCTTTAATTTCTCTATCACTGTAAACACTGCCTGCTTCCAGCTAGGGGAAGAGGTTATTTTTAACCATGATGATTTTAATGATCCATTTTTCCAACTTCACAAAAAGCTAAAGTTGCAATACTGAGAACACAGTGGGATGTAAAACAGGAGTAAGAATAAATGGCTGCAAATTTCTGAAGGAAATCCTACTCCTAAGGTATTGTGGATCTGTCCTCTGAGGTCCACAGGAGCTCAGAAGCTGACATTTATTCATTCCATTGCAAATGCCTTCCAGAAGTATATTCCAGGAATCAGTTTTCAAACTAATACTGCTTTGAGGGATAGAAAGGCAGATAGAAAAGACAGAGATAGAAAGATTTTACACATAAGGAAAAACTTTTTAGACATAAGGAAAAGCTTTTTCTCTCAGAGGGTGGTCAGGCACTGGAATGGCTGCCCAGGGAGCTGGTGGAGTCGCCGTCCCTGGCAGTGTTCAAGAGGTGCCTGGATGAGGAGCTGCGAGATATGGCTTAGTGCTTGTGGCAGTGGTGATGGGAGGATGGTTGGACTAGATGATCTTGTAGATCCTTTCCAACCTTGTGATTCTATGATTTTATGATTCTATGAAAGAATTATAGACTTCACTGTATTAACTAAGGACATGATGCACTTTTGATAAAAGAAAACCAAACTGAAAATCACAAAATATGCAGGGAAAAGAAGCCAAAAGACATGTCACTAGATCTGCTTGCTTGATTGTTTTTATAACGATTACAGATATTCACCTATTATTTGTTTTTGGCCCCTTCCTCTAAATTAACTTTAACTACTCTGAATGTTTCTCAAAGAAATCAGATGTGATGTCATTATTCAGCTCTTCAACTCAAATTGAAACATTTTCTGGAAAAGAAATGCAGCCTTAGCAAAAAAAAAAATATATATATCATGTAATATTTATGGCTGAAAACTGTAGCCTGCGTTTAGGTACATGATGATTCTTCTAAGTAGGTCATCTTGCTGAATCTTTTATGCTAAGGCAGTTTCTCTAATTGCAGCTTTTCAGTTTTCAAGGTGCTCCTCCAAAGTTACTGTCTGTACTGAATTAGGTATCTCATCCTATGTGTGGACTGCAGTATCTACTAGCTGTTACTGAGCTATACAAAAACGTTCACCAAACCTACTGCAGCCTTCCACAGATGCTACCAGGACCTTCACAAGTTCCTCATCACTATTTTTCTGAGAGTGAACAATTACAACGTGTTCCCGGATCATTTTGATCATTTTAGATTATTTCCAGGCATGCACATACAGTGCATTTAAACTAAAGGCTCAAATGCCATGATTCTTGATATTTTCCTTTCAGAAATTACAGCCTTCTTTTAAAGATTATCAGTTCATATTGATTTTGTCAAACTCAATTTTACTGTATAGTTTTTCTGTGGAGAGAAGACTGCAGGTATTTAAGAATATTGAATGAAAGTGCAAATGTCAACAGTGGCAAAGCAGTGATTGCACTTCCATGGCTCACCTACCTCATGAGTTCAGTGAGCTACACTCTAAAAATAAGTCTTCAAAAGCAACTGAGCTTATAGTGCAGTTTATAATAGACCAAGTATGTCAATAAGGAACTATACCTGTTCTAATTAATTAACAACATAACTCTGACAGCAAAAAAAAACCTGCATGCAGACTAAATCAAACTTCTGTCTAGGCAGACCAGAAAGATGTACTGCACATGAAAACATAAATTCACTTTTATCTTGCCTAGGTTTTCTAGCAGCGTACTTTATTGGACCACTATTCTTTCCAACAACTTTTCCTTCTCAGTGAACTGAAATCCCTGCCTTAAGGGTGAGAAGTACAAAGAGCAATTATTTATAGCCCATGCGTGATAGATACCCACCCTTTTAATTATGACAAACTGATTGACTGCAAGTAAGCAACTGGAGACTCTGAAAGAATGAGGATTATCAACTACCTGAGTAGCATAAAGCAGCTAAAGCAGCTGAAAGTCCAGACACTACTGTTAGTGTTACACAACAAGCCTGTTTGCCTCAACTAAACTAAACAACAGATTCCTGTTCAGTTCCTTTGAATAAAAATAAAAATATCAAAATATAAAGAATAATTTATTATTCTTATTTCTCTGGGAATATAGTGTCTTTGCTTGAAATAAAGATATTGTTTCAAGTAATATTAACAAATATATTTTTCAAAACATTCAAAAATTTAAAGATTCAAAATAAACATATTATCTGTTTGCTCTAATGTTTATTCTTTTTCATTCTATTATATTACTATATTTATTTCATTCTGCCACGTTTATGTAATATGATGGTACGTATTTTGCTACACCTTAAATAAAAGCAGGGCATTGCAAAATAAATCAATGAAGTCCCAGGAGGTTGTAAATTTGGGAGACATCAGAAATCCTATTTCCCACAAACACTTGCATCTTTGCTAAATGTAGGCTATAGGAAGACACAGTGAAGGCTCTGGGTTATGTAACAGGCACACAGTATTCACTATATGCCCATATTCACGCAATAAATTACCAATAGAACTGGAAGCCACACTCAAATGGAGCTACAGCATTTAGGATACACTTAAGGACCTAGTACAGCATCTGTCCTGTGTTTCTTTTGAATTCGTGAATATTCTTCAAATAGAAATAAAACATTAGAAACACTTCATATTTTAATCAATGCCTCTTCATTTTTAACCAACATTTTGATTGGAGTTTGATTTTGCCTTTTTCCAGCCTTCATTTCATTGTTATTGAGCTTTGCATGAATACCAAGCATTTTGAGTTTATCTGTTGTCAAGGGTTAGTCTTCATCTGAAGATACAATCTTCTGTTAGATCATAATCACATCCAATTTTACCTCTCTGATGTGTCAAATGGTTTTATATCCAGATGAAAAGTAAGTACCTGAACACACAAGCAGATGATGTTTTCTCTCATATTCTCAGCTCTGAGAACAAATATAAGAAAATAAATGACAGTATTACTCATTCCTGCATAGTAGCAAAGGATTCAAATTTTACTGAAGCTGGCCAACAATTCTCACACGGATGGCTTATGAGAAACAGTGGCTTATGAGATTGCGTCCAGAGTCAGATTTGAACTGCAGATCTGCGTCATACACAGAAGTACCTCCCATCATTGAATTTATGGGGATATCTGTGCAAAACTGCCTCTGAAGAGATGCTCTCTTATTATCACTACTTGATTCCTTATGCCTGAATAAAGAATAGAAACTTAAATTTCAACACTTACGTAAGTGCTGGCACAAAAGCTGAAGTATAGGATTCTTTTCAGCTGATATTAGTTGATTATAAGACGGGCATTTATAGCCCAAGCTGATGCTGTTGGCCTCTTCCAACATTCATAAGATACACACCCAGACTGTGACTCCTACAGTGTTGGGCTGCAGCTGCCAAAGCAGTATAAGCCACAGCATGGCTGCAGTGCCACAAACAGAGAGGGAACAGCAGAAAACAGGTAATAGAAGTTATTTTTGCTCAGTACTGCCATTTAAAACAAACAAACAAATAAAATAAAAACAAGACAAAATCAATTAAAATAAAATGCTAGCACTTTCTTGCATCTGCTATGATCATGTCTCCTGCTAACACACTGCTCTGATCATAAAGACCCATCAGCTCCCTAGAACTGCTCCAAGTGGAAAGAAGAAAGGAGATTGCACTTACAATGGGGGCATCAGATTAAAAAGTCTAAGGGTAATTATTGAGAAAAATGCATTTTAAAAGCACTGAGACTGATAGGAAATTCTGAAAGCAAGTCAAGAAATCCTACCCAGAAAGAAA